AAACAATACAGCATCAGAAAAATATTAAATTAATAAAAGTACCATCATAGTTAAGTTTGTTTACAACCCTTATTCTAATGAAGTTTGAATGTTGTGTAAAACAACTAAAAACATAATATGATGATTTGTAACTCCTTTTAAACCTATATTCAAATGAATACACTACACCATTGGTTCCCAAACTTTTTGTCTTCTGACCCACAAAATATCCATGGCAAAAACTTGTGACCCCAAATATTACTGGTCTGAGTACACAAACTTTGTCAATAACCCTAAACACACAGGCTTTTTGACAATCTAAACAGCTTGTACACAAATATAAATACTTATTTTTTACTTATTTTGTGTTTTTGTTATAATTATAGGGAAAATATTACATCAGCAATTTTTTATTAACCTTTAAATTGATGTCTGGAGATTATCCAAGGTGCTTCATGACCCATAATTGAGTTCCAAGCTCAACTTTGGGAACCAAAGTTCAGTGGTTCCCAAACCTTTTAGCTTTTGACCCACAAAATAACAGTAGCAGAGACCTGTGCCCACAACTATTTTTGGATGATAAACATTTGTATCAGGTCAACTAAACATGGGCATAGTAACAATATTTTTTATACTACATTTATCCATTTTAAATATACTAACCTCACTCATTTGTAACAACTAAGGCAAAGATGTAATTAATTCAGAAAATCTTTTCAGGACATCACCTTGATGTTTCGGGACCCCACTTTGGGTCCCGACCCCAACTTTGGGAAACACTGCACTACACTACTAAAATTCAGACAAACTTCATTGTTTTTTGCAAATATTCACTCATTCTGATTTTGATGTCTGCAACACGTTCCGTAAAAGTTGGTACAGAAGCATGTTCACCACTGTGTTATTTATACCTTTTAACAACATTCAATAAGCTTTTGAGAACTGAGGACACTAATTGCTGAAGTTTTGTAGGTGGACTTCTTTCCTATTCTTGCTTGAAGTACAACTTCAGTTGCTCAACAGTCCAGGCTTCACAATAATGCGCCACACATTTTCAGTGGGAGACAGCTCTAGACTGCAGGCAGGCCAGTCCAGTACCTGCAGTCTTTTACCACAAAGCCATGCTGTTATAACACGTGCAAAATGTGGCTTGGATTGTCCTGCTGAAATAAGAAGGGATGTCCCTAAGTTACCCACGCCATCGGAGATTCTGGCTTTTGAACTTTGCGCTGATAACAACCCAGAGAGACATTTTCATCTTTGGCCCGGATGACACCATGTCTATGATTTTCAAAAACAATTTGAAACGTGGACTCGTCAGATTTTGTGAGGCCATGTATGAAAAATCTGTTACAAAATGACATTGGTTTCTAAGGCTGTGCCTCCTGGGGGATCGAAGGTCAGGGGCAATCTGTGTTCGTTTTCAGCCTTGCTGCTTATTTGCAGAGGTTTGTTCAGATTCTCTCAATGTTTTGATGATATTATGGACTGTAGATGATGAAATCCTTAAAATCCTTGCATATAAAGAAATGTTGTTCTTAAACTATTGGACTATTTGGTCACACAGTTGAGTGTTGAACCTCGCCCCATTCTAGCTTGTAAATGACTGAGCCTTTCAGAGATGCTGCTTTTATACCCAATCATGACTTCCACCTGTTGCCAATTAACCTGTTCACCTGTGGAACTCTCCAATCTCATGCTCACTCAACAACTTTCTCAGGTTTTTGTTGCCACTGTCAGCTTTTCAGACTGTGTTACAGGCATCAACTTAAAAAAAAGATTTTACAAAAACTAAACAATAAAGTTTGTTTGTTTGAACATATTGTCTTTGTGCTCAGACAACAGTTGTTGCTCAGTCTCTCTCATCTCACCTGCTGAAACTTGTAACTCCAACACACAGGGTCAGGGGTCTCTATGTCACTTTCTGTTCTCGCGCTCAGATTATGAGGACGACCTGCTCTCAGTAAATTTACACGTTCCAAATTCTGTCCATTACTTGATGATGGATTTAACAGAACTCCTGGGTCTTGGGAATCCTTCTGTATCCACCCCTTGACAAGTACGTTTATATCTTATTTTCTCTGACTTGAATCAGCTCAGTTACTTTAAAGGGAGTGCACATCACCTATTTTACATTACATATATTTTTAATGGATATTGTAAAAAATATCATTTCAATTTGACATTGAAGATGTCCATGTAAAAAATGGCAACATAACATGTGAGGTTTGTTTCATGGGAATGAAAACAATAAAAATGTAAATAAATTAGTTGTAACTTTAGACTTTTTGCACTGTTCATTTGATCTGAGTAAACCGGTTCTGGTCTGAAAGTGTCATGTGAATAACATGTGTGCACCTAAATATTTAAGCACTTAGAAGACAGTTGTGTGAATATGTGAACTGCAGATCCAGATAAGAAGAATGAGCAGCAGTGTTTGTCTTGCATAAAGACCCTGCAACTGGTCTAATTGGTAGATGGCCCGCAGATGACATGGCTGCTGCTGCTGCTTCTACTCGTGGACAACCTACGTACAGAAAGAGCTACGTAATCTGAGTAAGAGAGAGAGAGAGAGAGAGAGAGAGAGAGAGAGAGAGAGAGAGAGAGC